GAGCCCCCCGAGGAGGGGCAGCCTGGGGAGGGTGGCAGGTTTTGGGGCCACCTCTCGCCTCCACCGGCACCCACCCTCCGCCAGGCAAGGAAAGGCCTCTCCCGCTCTCTTGCAGCCATTTTGCAAATTAGCCAGCCCTCTCCAGGAAATGGAAGCTGCCGACCTCCTGCCACCTGGTCTTCACATGGAGGCAGCGGGCAGACGGCATTTTGAAGCGGCTGTGGGACGTGGGGCAGCATGAAGCTGTTGGCAGTTGCCACGTTAGAGCCTTCTGGGCCTTTCGTCTGAGGAAAAGGGCCGCCCCATGACCGCTGGCGTCCTTCCGGCCCACCGCAGTGGCTTACCTGAGTGAGGGATTCCCGTGAAGATGGCACCAAGCAAGCCGGACAGCAGCTCGCCCTCCTGCCTGCCTTTATCCGCCGTTACTGCCGAATGCCTCCTGCTTGGTGATTCCAAGGTTGAGGAGGTTTTCTCACACCAGCTTGGCCATGAGTGAAGACAAACTAGCTCATCGTGAGAGGAAGCCCCGCTTTCCACCAGGCATGATGGAGCCTTGAGGAGACAGGCGCTGGCATGCGACAAAGGGCCCTTAGTGCGATGCCGTGGCCAATGTGACGCAAAGGACTGTGCTTCTGTGGAGGCCGCTTGAATATCAAGTCATGTTCCTGCAGCTTCACGCTGTGAAGGATTTGTTTCTTCAGGTAGAGTGTTGAGCGTCCTCTGTATATTATCTTTCTTGATACGAAAGAGCGCCATTAGGGTTTGCTCTGACCAGTTCTTCACACCTTGGCTTTGTAGCCAGCCTGCTGTAGTTGTTACCGGCTTTTAGACCCCATGTTCTCATAGCTGACCTCTGGTAGTCATTCCCCCGGAGTCTGGGAGAGATGCTGAGTGCTGCGTGGTCTGGCTTTGCTGTGGTCATGGCTTTCGTTCGTCTTCATTGTGTTGGCATCTCTCATCTTTTGATTTCAGTCCTTTGTGTAACAACGCTGCGCTCCACGTTAATGCGGGACTTGGCACTGCCCAGGCTATTATCCAAGTGGCAGATTGGAGCCGGTTGTTGAGTATAATACTGTAAGTCTGGGCATGGTTAATAAATGTCACTGGTATCGAGCACTGAATTATTTCTGGAATTTCATTTATGACCAAAAATCCTGGTGCGGTCCAAGTGGAGTGAAGCTGAAGACTCTTCTGACTGAGAGGATTCCTGTTTGAAATATCGATATTGGGTATTTTGAACATTGTCACTTTTTATCATGAAAGTAGGAAATAACACATGCACATCCAGCTCTTGATTGACCCCCATCTCCTGAACCGTGAATATTACCTCTGGTGATTATGAACTTGCCAGCTAACCAGTTTAGTATTGACTTACAGTTCAATAAAAACTATCTTATGGCAGTTTGGAGCTCAAAGATGTTTATGGTTTCTGTGGTCTGCTGGGTGGTGTGATAATGTTGAATTCCTAAGGACAAGCCACTCTGCTGATGTAAAATGTAACTTTTTTTATCTAAACTGAAGTAACTGGAGGGTTGTTCTCTGCTTTCCAATTTGCCAGTGATACTCGGATTGTTGGGATTGTTGATATTTGAAGAGTAAAATGTTGAAAGAATTAAGAAATACTGTAAACTACCCATGCCTTTAGCAATTTTAGTAATTAGTGCAGCAAAAATTTCTTAATTCCCAAGAAATGCATGACTACTTAATCACACCCCATGGTTTCTGCTTGATAAATCAATTATTTTGTCTTATTGTAAAGTGACTTTTATTGTTTACAGTAGCGAATCAGCTCTTTGGAGTGCTCATTGAGCAGAATATTCCATCAATAAGTAGACATTTAATACATTTCTCTTCAAAGTCTGCTTTATTACACCTACCATTTGCTGCTTTCCACAGCAGTAAACAAAATGGCAGTCAAATCCAGTGAGTCATTTTTCAGATGCATTCTAAAATATTCCTCTGAAACTGTTGGCTTTCTACATAGCATCAACTCTCCCCAAAGGTGTCTTGAATGAATTAAAAAAATGTCCCTTCCCAAGCTGTAGAAGAATATACGTCTTTTCTTTTGAGACAGGTCTAATAATCAGACTGTTCTTTCTGGGCTTTGCTGTTACTCTGTGCTCAGACAGCTTAAACTAGGACAACCCACCCTGCACCATATTGGAAGAAATCTCCATGACCTGGTCTATATTTTAGAAAATTTCATTTACATTGTACAGTGTTTAGATCACATTAACACTGTCGATATTGTTGCCGTAAGATTTACAACCCAAACAAATATTAGTTTGGAAGTTTTGAAAGGGTGAATGCTTTAGTGAATACTTTGAAGAGGGGAAACATCTTTTTCCTGATTACTCATTCCTTGTTTTAGAGTACACAGTCCCCTGGGATGCAACGGTGTGTGAGTCAATAGTGAGGAGCAGAAAGAGGACTTTTGTGATTGTCAAACCCAGGAAAAGTTGATTGTGGTTTCAGTGTATTTCCCTGCCATTTAGCAGAAAACAAGATTTTAAGTTTTAAAAAAATCCAAGTGACCTTTGTTTGCCCAGCAGGTCGCTATTGTAACTTGTCAAGTCATGCAGTATACCCCTGAGTCTTTTGGAAAAAATAGAAATATTTAAACTTATTACCACTTTTTTTTTAAAGTTTCTGATAACAGATTTTCTGGAAATACATATTTTCCAATTTTAATTGCCTTTAAATGGAAGTATCTTTACTCTGAAATGAAATTGCTGCAAAATCCAGATTTTTGTTTAAACTCTAAACTGAACATTTTTACTAAATATGTGATTATTCATTACTCTCATTGTTTCACCGCCTTCTCCTATTTTGCATCCCAAGAGAGCAATGCAAGCAAGGGAGTCATTACAAGTGTGATACGTCACATTTGAACACTTCTTTTGATTTGGTGGATGCTCTGGTTTCCACTACTTTGATTACAGGAATTATCTCTCAGACTGAATAAACTTAAAACCGAAACTATTATATTTCAGAAAGCTAAAATACTGCTGTCATAGCTGTGCCGTTGATTTGTTATTGATTGTTTAGTCAGTCTGTCCAGTGCTATGCAAATACTGTAGATACTGTACAGTCAATAATACAGTTCCCCCAAGGAGCGTACAGTTGAACAGTGCATTTCGGCAGCAAGCTCTATGAAAAGTCGCTGTAAAGGGCTGCGTTGTCTCTTGAAGAGGAAGCTGAATGATGGGCGAGAATAATTTGGTAAATGGAGAAATTGGGAGAATTCCCATACTAAGGTATGGAAATTAAATGAGAAAAGGGTGATAACGAGGCATGGGTGAGAGGAAGGAGAGAAGGACAAGGAACCAAAGGTGGATGCAAGGCGAAAGCTGTGCAAAGCCTTGGCTGTGTGAAAAAATGGGAGGCAAAAGGGAATATTTTAGCAGCAGCAACTGGAAGTGAAAGCAGGGAGTAAGGTAGCAAGATGTCTGTCTCTAACCAAAAAAGGGAGGATGACCAGAACATGGAAAAAGTCAGTGAGGGCGAAAGTGAAAGAAAGTGTTTTAGTGAGTTCATAAAGGAAGAGTTGACAGGAAGTGGTGAGTAGCTACAGTAGGAAGAGGAGAGTCACTTATGACGCCACTGTTCTGGCTGGGTGATAGGCAGGATAATGGGTTTCCTAGGGCTTGGTACCGTGGTGGCTGTACACTCGCCTATTAGGTCTGAGAGAGAGCTAAAATACCCCAGGAAGCTTGTCAGAAAAATTATCCAAGATATGAAGTCAAATAGGAGTTGCAAAACAAGATGAGGATGTCCTTAGCATACATATAGCATCTAAAAATTAGAGAATAGATGAACGTGAAAGGAAAATAGGAAGGCGCCATTTGTTTTGCGTAATTGATTTACATTATTTTGTGACAAGAAGAAGTAGACTTGGGAAAAGCCCAATATACTTCGCCCTGTGCCATGCTGTCTTTGAAAGCAAACAAGTAGTTGTGATTGTTTGATTCTGATGCTAAATTAATGTCTTCCTCCAAACCCTTCTTTGGATCTTATAACATGCAATTACTTAGCATCAAGAGGAAGCATTTGAAATAGAATCTGAAATACCACAGTATAATAAAACAAACAATAATATATAGAAAACAAAGTAGTGTTTATTTGTTGGTGTACAGCATATGCCACGGAATAGAACTTTTCTAGGGTTGAAAATACATTTTAATGGCAGCTGTTCTGAAAACCATCTTCTTACAACTTTATGATTCTGTTCTGTTCTATTAAGTATGGCCAATATAGTTTTGCCGTATTTTGGGAAGGGGAAAAATGAAACTTTGACCAAGGATACATGAAAAAATGGATGCCAACTAAGATATATGGAAGAAGAGTTAATACATTAATACTGCATATGGGAATCCATATGATGCCGTTGTATATACTTGCCACTACCCGTCTAGACTTAGAAAATAAGGAAGTCCCATTGCTTAGCATGTATTTGCTTGTCAGTTACTTTCTGTGGGAAATATTTCATATTAAGTATAACGTGTGCCCTGATTCTGTGAGCCGATTCATGTGATCTATTGATTTTAACAGATCTCCATGCAAGTATGAGGATCAACACATTGCAGTCATTTTAACAGACTGACATCACGTGAGAAAGAGAGATGGAGAAAAAACTGCCTTAAAAATTAAAGCACGGAATGGTGTGTCACAGGAGAAGGAAACAGAGATAGTGTACACCATTGCAAGAAAAACAGGCGAGTACAGAAATTACCCTGCTAGAGGAGACTTCACTGTCAAAACAATGTTTCCCTAAACCAGTACAAGCAGTGTTCCATAACAGCAGTCACTGAAGAAAACCTGGTAGTAAGACTTTGCATCAGATAGAAGTGGCCCAGAATTGGTTGCTGGTGTGTCAGCAAAGGTATGTTTTCCATGGATTATTATCACAGCCACGTAACAGCCATTATAGAAGATGCCTTATCATGACACGTGCTTGTTCTGGAACATAAATGATTATGTAGGGCCTCATTCAAAAAACATGGAAATGAGTGGAAGTATTCTTTTAACCTCTGTGAATTTAGGTGCATTCCACACATGTTCATCTCTCCGTTTTCTGGTTCCTCTTGCTATACAGTTGTATCATTCACCATCTTATTTTATGAAACTAGAACCATGTCTGGCAACAAAGATTGAAGCTAATCGTTGTTGCACCTTTTCTTATGTTGAAAATTAAGATAGCTTTGTCTTTGTCTGAACACATTGATTCTTTTGCCAGTACCTCCCAATGACACCAAAAATAACATCTTTCCATATTCTGCTCCCTCTTGTTTGCAAATGCTGTTTTTCCACCTGACATGTTGTCATAGATAATAGAAAGGTGCCAAAACATTCCTCTTGAAAGAGTTGCTAACTTTCCAACTAAGGCAAGAAAAATGGGAAAGCGTAGATCATGTAGAAGTCAATTTCATATGGGAACTCTTGTGTATACAGAGCTTTCAAAATTGACAGCTCAACAGTTGAATTTTCAACAGGTTTAGGAAATCATCATATACATCAAGCAGGAGCAAATGGCACACATTATTTTCTTATATTCCTGCATATCCTGAACATCAGGTAAGAGTCCAGTATTAGAGACTTTGGTTTATGGCCTTATTTTTATTTAGGTAGAAATAGAAGTGTGAAGTGGATAGCTCACGTGTTTTTTTCTGTTAAGCAGCAGATGACAGTGTGTAAACACCTAAGAATGTTTTAAGTTATAATGCAACGTGGGATTTGAGACTTGCACAGTGCCAATTAAAGGAAGTTGAGATAAGTTTTATTAGTACTATCTGGACAAGATGTATTAGAATCATTATAAAGAATCCATAAATAGCAAGACGATAGAAAACACTGTTAGATTTAGCTGAGTGAAAGAATCTCTTAAGGGAAGACATCTGACAAATTCAGTACGGTTTACACATA